GATGAGTCAGTGGATAAGTGAGTGAATGAATGAATGGATGAGTCAGTGGACAAGTGAGTGAATGAATGAATGGATGGATAGATGGGTTATGAATGAATGAAAGCATGAGCAGTGAATGGATGAATGCATAAGTGAATGAATGGATGAGCGGGTGGGTGGACGGGTGGGCTGACAGTCTGTGGACTCCCACCTGGCCAGTCAGTAGCCCCCACACCAGTGACTTGGAGCCTATTCTGGCTGGGACCCCACTGGAGAGCTTGTTGATTAAAACCCCCCAGGAAGGGGTCTACTTGGTCACCGTGTGGATCCAGTGACCTGCTGGTGGTGGCTCAGGTTGCCTGGCCGGTGTAGTCAGTGGCCCTTAGGGCTCTCCTGGGGGGACTGCTATCTGCTTCTGCCCCACTGACAGCCTAGCCCCACGTGTACCCCAGGTTCAGGACCTAAATTTTTGGCCCCAGCGCCCCATTTGTCTCAGGCAGCCCTAGGGGCTCTCAGTGTCCCCTGCCTGTCCCTGGCCCGGGGTCTGAGTGGCCTTTGCTCTGTGTCTGCCCGGCAGCTCCTTCTTCTGTGCTTTCCTGCACCTGCTGGTCAGTGCCCTGCTGGTCTTGCTCGTCTTCATCGCCAGCACCATCGTGAGCGTGGGCTTCACCATGTGGTGTGACACCATCACTGAGAAGGGCTCCCTGCCCCGCAGGTACGCTGCCCCCAGCCTGGCCAGCCTTGCGGCGGCACCCTCACCCCCACCCTGCTGCCCGGTCTCCACTGCCAACACCACAGCTCTGCAGCTGGGCGGCCTTGAGTGTGGGGGCGGGGGCATGAACCGTGGCCTCAGAAGATGACCCCAGAGGTCCCTGCCTGCCCTGTCCCCTACCTCCTGCCATCAGAGGGCTGCTCCTGGGCCAGCTGCTGCCTGACAGGCCTTGTGGTAACTGCCCACCCCCTTCTTGCCCTTCCAGCTGTGAAGAGCTGCAGGACGTTGACTTGGAGCTGAATGTAGACAACTCCGCCTTCTACGACCAGTTTGCCACTGCCCAGGTGGGGACGAGGGAGTGGGGGGCGGGGGGATGGTACCTGGTCCATGGTACGCCCCAGCAGCTGTCCATGCCCCTGACCACCAGAAGCCCCAGCCCGGCCTGCCCCAAGGACACAGTCCCCAGTTTACAGTCACATGCGAGTGCGAGTCTGGTGGGAGGCTGAGTGGACTGGGCAGGGGGCGGAGAGGGCAGAGGAGGCTCCTGCCTCATGCGGCACTCAGGACCCAGTTCCTCCCCTGTGACTCCTGATTCTGGGGCGTTGTGCAGGCCAATGCTAACTCTGTGCCTCTGCCCGTCTAGTTCGGCCTCTGGGCGGCGTGGGCAGCCTGGCTGGCCATCACGGTGCTGGCCTTCCTGAAGGCTTATCACAACTACCGCCAGGAGGACCTCCTGGACAGCCTGGTCCATGAGAAGGAGCTGCTGCTGGCCCGGCCGGGCCTCCGAGCCGACTGCCGGCAGGACAAGAGCGCAGTCATCTAGGGCCACCCGCCATCCTCCCCGCCCTGGGAGCTGGGCACCACCCCTACCTTGCAGCTTCTCGCATGCCCCTCCCCGAGCCCTCTGAGAGCTCGTGCCCCCCCTCCTGCCCCCAGCCCCCGGGAACAGCCAGACAGGTGTTAGAGAGACCTGGGCTGTGGTGAGCAAGTCCATTGTGGGACCTGAGAGAGGACTCAGGTGGGGTCCAGGTGTCCTGCAGGTGTGGGTCTGAGGACACACATGTGTCTCACCATGCACATGCCTGTCCCAGAAGGCACACCTGCCCTGCAGGTGCCGGCACCCTGGCCTTGCTCCTGTGTGACTCGCACCCCTTGCCCAGGTATGAAGCCGCCTGGCAGCTGGTCAATTACATGCACCGTCCCAGGGCAGCACCTGTGTCCCCTAATCAGTCCCCACCGTGATGGCCGAATCTGCAAACAGAACCCACCCCAAGTGTGGGAGAAATGGCCTCCTCCCCAGGGGGCAGATTCCCTCAGCACTGCTCCAGGACCCCTCCCCTGGGGGATGGAGCTGGCCAGGTACAGCACACTGGTGTCCCCTGAGTCTGGGGTGGCTGCATGAACATCTTGGAGATGGCCAGGCTGCCCTGCCCTGGGCAAGGGGGCTGGCCGAGGGAGACCCTGGAGAGCTTGTGTCTGAGGGTGGGCTCTGCCTGTGGTGGGGGTGAGGAAGGGGCCAGGAGGGAGCGAGGTGCCACTAATGGGGTAGGTTTGTGCATGTGTGTGTATGTGTGACCGCTCACGTGTGTGAATATGTATGTGATAGAGTGTGTACGTGAGCACATGCAAGTGTGTGCACATGGATATGAACATGTGTGCTTGAGTGTGCATGTGTACATACATAGAATGTGCACCTGTAGAGTGTGTACATGCACACTTGAGTACACACGTGCATGAGTGTGTGAATGTGAGTACATGTGCGTATTCATGTGTGTAGTATGTGTGCACATTTATATATGCATGTGTGTACATGTGAAAACATGCATGCATGTGTGCACAGGTGTGGATTCATGCATGTGTGCGCACATGTGCACATGTGTGCATTTGAGCATAGTAGTGTGTAAACACATTGGTGTGCATGCATTGGTGAGTATGCATGCGTGTCAGTGTGCATCACTGGGCTGTGCAGACACAGACCCCCCAGCTGTTCATGCCTGCCTGTGGGGGGTGTGTGTGCCTGCAGATGGCAGGCCTTGCTCTGGAGGGTGAGGGCCGAGAGGTCCCTGGACACACACACACACACACACACACACACACACACACACACACACACACACTTTCTCCCCTCTCGACATTACAAAGCTCACTCCTGAGGCTGCTAGCTCCAGCCTGTGACCCCATCCCATCACCACCACCAGCAGGTCAGCAGGGAAATGGTCCCCAGGGGCCAGGCCTGGCTGTCCTGGGGGGCAGGTGTCAGTGCCTGGACAGGGTTAGGCTGGCATTGAGGTTGGAGGTCTGGTAGCAGGGCTGCCAGCATCTCAGAGCCCAGGCGCGAGTCCCTGTAGAGGGGAAGGCCGTGGGCTGACCTGGGTCCCATCCCCCTCGCAGAACCCTCTGCAGTCCCAGAGCTCCTGGTCACCTGCCAACAGCAGCTCCCTCTTCGGGGCCCCTGGGTGGGCTGGGTAGGGTCCACCCGGGCAGCTGCCCTTCGTGGCCAGGCAGTGCCTGTGCCATGTTGTTTATGTGGGTGCCTAAGATTGCACCTTAGACGTCAGGGCTTGGGGACTTTTAGGAGGGGGCAGCCCGAGGCTTCGGCCAAGGGTGGGTGCAGACTCTGAGGGGCTGCGGCACATTCCCCTTCAGCCCTGGCCTTCCTCCCGCAGACCTGCCCCCTTCCTCTGCCCGCTTCCCCTCAATGTGGCAAAATAAAAGTGCCGGCTCTGGTCTGGACTCCCTGGATGTCTCTGCTCTCCGTCGACCCCTTGCATCCCCCCACTCCCACTTTGCCATACTGCTGCTGGAGTTCTGGACTCGGCCTCCCTGTGAGTGGCCTACCAAGGCTAGGGGGTGGGCAGATCCCGCATGATCCCGGGATACAGGTTCAGGGCCTCTTCTCCCTCCTCCTGCTGCATCTAGTCCTGTGCCCCACCCCCATACTCCCCCTAAACTACCTACTGGAATCCCACCTCCTATACCTGGGGTCACCTGTTGGCTGCCAACTAGAGGGTCTATGGTTCAAGCCCACCAGCAGACCCTGGGCAGACAGAGGAGGCTGAGCCCCTGTGAGACGGACCGCTGGACACCCCGAGGGGTCTCAGGGCCCCGGGGCAGTGGGCTGTGTGTTTCCATGCCTGCAGCCGGGATGCTGTCTGGGAAGAGAGGTCTGTGCTTTTGGGGTGAGCCCCTCTGTAGGGTGTGTCTTCGAGCAGGGCAGGGTGGGCCTGGCTAAGAGCAGCAGGGGCCAGAGAGCTGGGACACCCGGGGAGGGAGCTGGGA